CTTTTCCCTTTAGACTAGCCTTAAAAAAAGGGGTCTCCTGGGTCCGCGGGGTGCCCAGGCACCCTCACCCGCACACCTGCTGCCCAAGACACGCCCCCAGTCCTCCCCCCCAACAGCTCCCACGCCTTCCAGCCCCACCCAGCCGGAAAGGAGCCCAGCGTCTTCCAGGCCTGTGGCCTGACTGGGGAGGAACAGCAAGGAACCTTTGGCAGCCCGCCGGGTGGAGGCCCCGGGGAAGGAGGGGCCCTGTGCAGAGGAGAGGGGACACTGTGAAAACCTGAATGAGGCTCGAAACCGAGATGGGGTGCAGCAGGTGGGGGCCTGAGCATCTGGAAACTATCTGGAGCAAGGAGGGTAAAAGGAGAGGTTGGGATTTATTGGGGTTCAAAGTCCCAGGCTAAGGAGTGAGAAGCAAAGTTTCCAGGGGTGGAGGAACTTGGGAGGGACTGTCCACTACGGGGGCGTGACTCGATGCTCCCACCTGAAACTGAAGCTGGCCTGGGAACCAGAAGCGGGGCGGAAAAACCAAGAGGTTGAAGAAGTGATGAATGGAGAAGCTCGCTCAGGGGCCGGCACCGGGGACAGCGGGGTTGAAGTGGCACCTACTCAGGACGAGGGCACCCGAGCCTTCTAGGGCGTCCTGCGCCGCAGGGGTCTGGGGCCCCGGCCAGGGTCTTGGACCTAGAATTACTCTGGCAGGGAGAGGTGCAAACGGCAAGTGAAATGGGGCTCGGGATTTATTTGGCTCAGAATATTGGCTCCAAAGAGTGGAGATCACCAATTTCCCCGAGCTGAGGAACTGGGCTTGGTAGGGTGGACAAAGTCTTCATTACCGGGACGACTCTGGAGACTCAAGTTTCCGGAGTGCAGCCGGGCTGGGATGGGGGCGCCGTAGCCAGGCGAGACCGGCGTGGGGATCCCCAGCACCAGACAGAGCGCGCACGGGGAGTCCTCGGAATCTGGGCAGCGCGGAGGGCCGGCACATTTACCTCGTCCCATTTGATGAACTTACTCCCGCGCCGCAGGGTCTCCACCACCGTGGGCGGCTCCAGCTGCAGCGCGTGGACGCCGGGCCTGGCGCCCGCCATAGCCGAGCCGCGAGCGGATCGCGGACCCCCGGAACCCGACGGGTACCGACCGCGCCGCCGCTCCCTCCGCGCGCTCCCGCGCGGCCCGCTTCGGCCCCGCGGCGTCAGCGCCCGCCCGCTTGTCTGTCCCGGACGGACTAGAGACTGGCGCCGGGCCCCGCCCCCGCCCCGCCCAAGCCCGCCCACCTCGTGTCGGCTCCCCCTAGCGGCCGGGGCGGCGACTGCAGCCACAGGCGGACAAGGAGAAGCGTACCTGTAAGAGTGGGGGGCTTGGGAAGGAGACGCAACAAGAATCGACTCTTTTGGGGTCCTGCTGCTGTTGGAGTACAGTTGTAGGGACGGAGTGTTCATAAGATTGCCCAAGATTGTCTGGACAAGGGACTGGAGGTCAGGACTTCAGCCAGGGAAAGCAGAACTCTGTCCCCAATCCGTCCTGCTGCACTTAGCTGTATGCAGGAAAAGCCGCCCCAATCCCGTGCCCTCGCTTTGTCTCAACCCCATTGCGGCAGCGTAGTTCCCCCTCCCCCGGAGCACTTAGCCTGCTAATGGGCCTCCCGCCAGCAGGCGCCCCTCCCGGTTCCAGCCCTGGGAGGTCGGGCGCCAGCTACCTCCGGAGGACCCGAGCACCCAGAGTGAGCCCTGGAAAGCCATGTTCGGTGCTGCCGACCTGTGACCCCACCCTGTCTCTGTGGCCACGCTGCTGAGATTTGGTGAAGAGGCGGCTGGTTATTGCCTAGAAGGGCCAGGAGCCTCGTGAATGTCCCCAAAGGAGGGGCTCAGCAGAGCCTGGCCCACAGCAGGTGCCCTGAAATCTGTGTGCCAGAGCTGGGAGGAGGGGAAGGCGCATGGGCACTGGGATGGGTGGGGGCTGTGGCCCCTCCCGCAGGGCTTGGCTGGGGGGGCTCCTGCCTGGGGGCCCCTGTGGGACACCCCCCCATACAGAGGCGACAGCAGCTGCAGGTTTAAAGTAGAACTCATCCAGAGGGGCCAGCCAAGTCACCTAGAAACCCAGAAAGAGATGGAGCTGGTTCTGGGGGAGGAGGGTTTAGCAAAGGAGGAGTGGCCCCCGCAGGCCTCTTTGCCCCGAGCTCTCAGACCCTCCCAGGCAGGCTGTGCCAGGACACCATCAGCCTTCCCCCAGATTCTCACCATATTGGTATCCGATGCTAACCTAGTGTATCTTCTTGTCTTTGGCCCTGGCACTGTGTGGTGTAATTATTATTATCTACACTTGAGGCCCAGAAAGAGGAAGGGACTTGCCCAAGATCACACACTTTGTAGGATTCAATGCTCTGATGTTCTGTCTCCTGCCCTTGAGACAGATAGGGAGAACAGGTCCTGTGATCCTTTTCTTCTCTCACCAGGGCTGTGGAGCCATGCCCTTCAGAGACCAGGGGATCACCAGATCTCATTGGGAGAACTCAGCTATGCTGGGGGAAGGCCAGCATCTGCTCCTACAGGCCTGGATTCAGATCCAGAACTAGCTGATGGCACAGTGTATTCTCTATGCCTTAGTCTCCTAGTCCAGAAGCTAGGAGTTGACAGAAGAAATTAGCAAATATGTGGGATAGAACACACACACACACACACACACACACACACACACACACCCCACAGCCTGGCATGAGGAAAGCTATGGTGTCAGAGGGGGAAGGAGAGAACATGGAACCAGTACCAGGGCAGGGACCCTGTTAGCTATAGCCATGGTCTGAGCTGAGTGTATCTGAATCTTGGACCCTCAGCCTTGGACAGAGGAACTTCACAGAAGCATGGAGCGCCAGCTCCTTGGAAAAGAGAAAAGCAGCTTGATGGCTGGGCCTGGGCCTCTTCCCCCACAACACTCCCATGTCTCCTGAGGCCAGGGCAGGCCCCCCATTAGAGGGCTCCTTCCTCCTTGGACACTTTTTCTCCTATCCTGGTAATGGTAATGGGATTTCTCGGCAAGCAGTAATGGCGGAAGTCAGCCCTTCCGGCCTCTACCCTCGATTAACAGAGTGATTGTGGCCCACAGGTCCCTCCCCAGGGCCTTAGCCACACTCTGGTGGGAGAAGGCCAGGACTTGGGAGGGTGGAGCTCAGGAGACCACAGCCTGAAGCTAGAAGCCTGAGGAGCTGCAGCACACACACTTCAGTCCCAGGAGGGCCCAGCAGAACAAAGCTTGGGAGCCAGGCTGCCATGCAATGAGCTCTGGGCCCAGCCACTGGGAGGGAGGTCAGGAGGATCAGCCTCCTGGAGGAGGCTAGGGCAGGTAAGTGACTTGCCCACTGTTTCTTTGTCTACTGGGCAGAATCAGGATCAGAACCCAGGCTTTGCACTCCAAAGCTATTTGGTTGGTTTTTAACTTTTTTTTTTTTTTTTAACATTTATTTATTGTGTGTGTATGTATGTGTGTGTGGACAGCTCAGCCCACCTGGGGGTGGGGCTGGCTGGCATGTGGTGCTGGGGGATCGAACCATGGTCCCTGTGCTTTGCCAAGCTTGTTCCAAGTAGGTGCTTTAGACCACTGAGCCATCTCTCCAGTCCCGGTTGTTTTTTTTGTTGTTGTTGTTGTTGTTTTTTTTAAGCTAAGGTTCTTGGAGCTATCATGCCTTCTGTATCCTATTGTTGGGGTGAATGGGCACAGGAAGGCACTGGATAGAAAAGTTGGTCCCAGGAATCTGGGGGTGGTGCACAAGGGCAAAGGCTAGAGGGAAAGACAGAAATGGAATGCCCAAGAGAGCCCTTGGAGGAGCATCAACATTTGGACTCAACCAGACACCTTCATACCACCCCTAAGGGACAGGAAAATCAGTTCTCAGGGTCACCAACTCCCAGTACCTGCTAGGCACAAGGAGCCATTCACATATATCCTCCCTCTAATCCATGAGCACCCACAGGTCAAAGTCAGTCCTGGGGTTCAGAAAGAACTGCCCTACCCTGGCAGGGTGAGGTGGGGAATGGTGGGGAATTAGGACTTGGTAGAGCAATGCTCCTGTCAGGCCAGATTTGGAGCCAGAGGTCAGGCTCTGCATGGGTGGGTTCTGCTGAACTGCCAAGGGCAACAGTCAGCCCTTCCCAGGCTAAAATTGAAGAACCCACCTCATCTTGACACACACTGTTCACAGTCTCTTGTCTGACTCTTCATCCATTATAGGGTAAAGGAGGAGACTACAGTCCCATGTTCTTGTTGGATGCAGAACCAGCTGTGTGACTCTGGGCCCATCTTTTTCTTTCTTAATATATTTGGTACAGGGTCTCACTACACAGCTTGGACTCTAGTGATCCTTGTGTTTTCAGCCTCCCCAGTGCTGAGATTACAGACATGTGCCATGCCCCACCAGGTCTCTAGTGCCTGGTTCAGTGAGCCTGGGAGGGGGTGGAGGCAGCGCAGCATGTGGTACTGGGGATCTAACCCTGGTCCAAGCACTTGTGCCACTGAGCTATCTCCCAGCATCTGGGCTGATCTTTCTCAACCCCACCTGTAGGAGGGCTTCTTTCTCTAGCACCCACAGAAGGGGTACCTATGAGGGGTTGGGACTTTATGCCTCTTGGATCCTGAAATTCTGTAGGGGACTCCAGAGGGTGAGCATGCCATTACAGACAGCCTAGGCTGGGTTGCACAAGCCCATTGAGTTGAGTGGTGTCCAGGAAAAGGTGGAGAGGGGATAAGTAGGGACCTTCAATTGGGTAGGAGAATGGGGGCTGAATCATAGAGCTCAAAAATCTCAGCTTCCCATTTATGTAACTCTGTGACTCAATTAACTTCCATGGTACAGTAATTCCCCCAAATTTTCCTATTTAATTCTCACTACAACCTTTTGAGGAAGCCAGTCATTTTTGCTCATTTTAAAAGTTCTATTTAGAGATGGGGCCTTTCTAAATTGCTCAAACTGGCTCATATTTGCAATCCAGAAGCAACTCACCACACCCACCCTTTCTTTCCCTCATTTATTTCAAACTGTAGAGCGCCTGCTAAGAATCTGACAATTCAAGGTGCTGGATTTCTGCAGGGCTCAGGTGATTTCCTGACATTGGAAGGTTTGTAGGGGGACGGGCAGATCAAAGCCTGGGAGTCAACAAAGTCCACACAGCTTTCCTCCTGTGACTGGGCTCACCACCTAGAAGTGGGAGACACAATGAAGAAATGAATGAAACATTTTCTTTAAAGTCAATCAGCAGACAATCAAAGGGGAGAATAGACTGCCTGCTTCAGAGACCACTTCGTGTGGGTCCAGATAAACAGACATTCTGAGCCAGGCGTTAGTATTACCTTCATCATCCTGAGTCCCAGCTCCCAAACTCCCCAGTTCTTAAGAGTCGGAGTTTCCTCCCCATACGCGCTGTTTTCAGGGTGTGGCCAGGCCGGCTGGGGAAGGAAGCCCCCACACAAGTGTGCTCTCTGGCCGGCTCCACCGAGTGCAGGGCGGCCACGCGGGGCCTGGTCACGAACTACATTTCCCACAATGCCGCTCCGGCAGCCATCTTGGCCAGTGGGCGGTGGCTGCCCTGGGCTGGCCCTTCAGGTTGGGGGGGGGAGGCTCACCCCCAAGTGGGACTTCACGGAGGGCGTGGGACCCCGCCAAGTAGGTCGCTGGGCATCAGGGCAGCTCCTCCCTACCTTCCCACTGCCCCTCCGCGGAGCTTCGTGCACGTGTCTGCCCGCGCAAAGAAGCACGCTTGCCCCTTGCTAGCCAGAATTCGGAGGCCCCAATGTCCGGGTCTCCAAGGTTGCTCTCCCAGCCCCACCTTGCACAGTACCCACCTCTCCTCCAAACCTATGTGGCCCCAGCTCCTTCTTTAAGGGTAGAGTTCATGGAAGACTAGTGTCCTGGCGGAAGTGTGAAACCTCAAGCGCACAGTACCCCAGGTTGGGGCTGGAAGGTTAAATTAGGGGGTACAGAGAGCCAGGCACGGAACCCCTCTCGGTATGAGCTCCCCAGAGGCGGGGTGAGAATGAGGGACCCCGCGCCGGCTGGGCCTTTAAGGGGGTGTGGTCGGGGGCGGAGGAAGGAGCGAGACAGAGAAAGCGGCTTCGGCGGCGGCGGCGGCGGCGGGCGGCGGCCGCGGGGG